TTCAGTTTGCAACAATACAGATAAGGTTTTGAATACAACAGTCTCTCACAGCAAGGTAAAAACATGCAAGTTGTTATTAAATGCTCAACTTGCTTGCAAAGTTTTCCATAAACATATAGTTCATACTTGCATAATGAAATGGAAGGTGTCCATGTAGCAAAGCTGAAGAGGGTACCTCAAGTTATACCTGAAAGATCAATAGCCATGGCAACTCCCACTATGAAAATGTCCTCAGCAGATGGCTGTGGCATTTAGCCTCCACACATTGGGAGTTATAATGATCTCTGGTGTTTCACAACATTCTGCTGTTGTGGGGAGAGCTGTGCTGTGTTTTGTACAGCCCGAGTGGCAGACAGCAGCATTCTCATTCAGCTTTCAAGTACAGGTAGTTACTTCACACTGGTTTCTGCATGTTTCTACATACAGCTAGTCATAAAATGTATTTCATGGCTTTAGGAAACTAAACTTTCAAAAGTGTTTCTCAAAAGATGTTAGCTCAAATGGGAATTCTCGCATAGGCACTTCCAGATTTTGACCATTCCTTTGTATCGAACTGTCTCTTACAAGAAGAGGCACTGTGGATTCAACAAGTATGCCAAATGGACTTTGCTTTTCAAACATGCGTCCAATAGGCAAACACACATCTGTCACAGCTGTTTGGAGATAATGGGTCACCATGCCCCTACTTCAAAGGTTTAACTGAGAGAGATGCAGAGGTGAAGCTCCTGTGTGCTTCCGAGAATCAGAAAGCTGAGTGAGTCACTGAAGTCAGTGCAGTCACTGAAGTTGTGCTTCATCCACTGAGCTGCTTGTGCTTTTACTGCATTTACAAACCATACGTAGCCTACACCCAGACTTGCACCGACTGTGGAAATGTCACTGCACCTCCCAGGATGCTGAGTGTCTGTGAGCTGTGTCTCTTGAAAGGTACGGACTTCTGAGTGGGAACTGGCTAGGCAGGCAGACTTCATTTCCCCAAGAGAAAGGATTATTCTTTTTGCAGAAAGGAAACGAACCAGTTAATACACAAAACTGAAAGCACAGTTCACTTTGACAGAAGCATCCCTACTTGCACAATCAAGTTTACTAGAGCTTACAATACTGTGCAGCCCTGTTGAGTTAAAGCACACAGGGGGGTGTTATGACCATGTTACATGTACCCAGGAGCAGTGGGAAGTGACACTGCCTGTATGAGTCACATTTTGCTTTGGAACTTTACACCAACAGTAAAGATCAAAGGGGCCTGTCCTCTTCCTCAACACAAGAAACAGTGTTATCACCCATCAAGGCAAAAACTTGCACTGGGGACTGACTCTCCAAAACCTTTTCTTAGTTCGAAGTTAGCTACAAAGGTTCACACTGGCACATCACTTGAGCGTTTGAAAAAGATCAAAGAGCCAACCACAGATTCAGGTAAATGCTTTTTAGATGCAAGGGTCAACTACAGATTTTAAAACTCCAACCTTTTTGCTTCTCCCAGTAAGTACAGACACAAATCATTGTATATCAAGCACACAGGGCCCTTAAATTTTTATTTAAATACAACTCAAATTGTTCGAAAGTTACACACACATCATAGAATAGTCAGGGTTGGAAAGGACCTTAAGATCTAGTTCCAATCCCCCTGCCATGGGCAGGGACACCACACATTAAACCATGTCACCCAAGGCTCTGTCCAACCTGGCCTTAAAAACTACCATGGATGGAGCATTTACCACTTTTTTGGGCAACCCATTTCAGTGCCTCACCACCCTCACAGTAAAGAACTTCCTCCTTATATCCAATCTAAACTTCCCCTCTTTAAGTTTTAACCCATTACCCCTTGTGTCCAATCACTACAGTCCCTAATGAAAAGTCCATCCCCATCATCCCTATACCTTCAGATACTGGAAGGCTGCTATGAGGTCTCCACGCAGCCTTCTCCAGGATGAACAGCCCCAACTTTCTCAGCCTGTCTTCATATGGGAGGTGCTCCAGTCCCCTGATCATCCTCGTGGCCCTCCTCTGGACGTGTTCCAACAGTTCCATGTCCTTTTTATGTTGAGGACACCAGAACTGCACACAATACTCCAAGTGAGGTCTCATGAGAGCAGAGTAGAGGGGCAGGATCACCTCCTTGGACCTGCTGGTCACGCTCCTTTTGATGCAGCCCAGGATACAGTTGGCTTTCTGGGCTGCAAGCGCACACTGAAGCCGGCTCATGTTCATTTTCTCATCGACCAGCACCCCCAAGTCCTTCTCCACAGGGCTGCTCTGAATCTCTTTGCCCAACCTGTAGTTGTGCCTGGGATTACTCCCACCCAGGTGTAGGACCTTGCACTTGGCATGGTTAAACTTCATGAGGTTGACATCATCCCACCTCACAAGCGTGTCAAGGTCCCTCTGGATGGCATTCCTTCCCTCCAGCGTGTGAACCGAACCACACAGCTTGGTGTCATCAGCAAACTTACTGAGGGCGCACTCAATCCCACTGTCCATGTCAGTGACGAAGATGTTAAACAAGACCGCACCCAACACCGATCCCCGAGGTTCACCACTCGTTACTGGTCTCCACCTGGACATTGAACCACTGAACCCAACTCTTTGTGTGCGGCCATCCAGCCAGTTCTTTATCCACTGAGTGGTCCATTCATCAAATTGATGTCTCTCCAATTTAGAGACAAGGATGTTGTGTGGGACAGTGCCAAATGCTTTGCACAAGTCCAGGTAGATGACAGCAACTGCTCTACCCCTGTCCATCAGTTCTGTAGCTCCATCATAAAAGGCCACCAAATTGGTCAGGCAGGATTTCCCCTTAGTGAAGCCATGCTGGCTGTCACCAAGCACCTTGTTTATTTTCACGTGCCTTAGCATGCCTTCCAGGAGAATCTGCTCCAAGATTTTGCCAGGCACAGAGGTGAAACTGACTGGTCTGTAATTCCCCGGGTCATCCATTTTCCCCTTCTTGAAAATGGGGGTTATATTTCCCTTTTTCCAGTCATTGGGAACTTCACCTGACTGCCATGATTTTCCAAATATGATGGCCAGCGGCTTAGCAACTTCATTAGCCAGCGCCTTCAGGACCACAGATGGATTTTATCAGGACCCATGGACTTGTGCATGTTCAGATTTTTAAGATGGTTTTGAACCAGATCCTCTCCTACAGTGGGCCCAAGGTCTCCATTCTCACAGTCCCTGCGTCTGCCTTCCGAGACTTGAGTGGTGTGGTCAGAACATTTCCCAGTGAAGACTGAGGCAAAACCGTCATTAAGAACCTCAGCCTTTTCCAAATCCAGGGTACCCAGTTCTCCTGATAGCTCCTGGACAGGGCCTGCATTGTCCCTAGTCTGTCTTTTATTTGAAAAATAAATATTTATTTAATAATATAATGAATATAATATATATAATATACATTATATATATAATTTATATTATTTTACTGTATTTATTTTTATATAATATATAAAAATAAATATAATAAAGTTATTACATGGGATTATGTATTACAAGAGATTTATTGAAAGAAAATAATAATTGCTGATGGTCTTGCTTAGAAAGCTGTAACTATCAAACACAGGAGAAGGTATTATTAAAAAATAATTTTCTCATTTTTCACCATGAAGTAATAAGCCTGCTTGTAAGTTCTGATCAGCCACTAACCACATTTAACAAGCAGCCAGAAGACAGATATCCAGCTGCTGTCATAGAAATTGAACTGCAAATGGGCAGCTGGGTGCAACGCTGGATTTCACTCACAGGACTCATTTTGAAAGACGCATTAAATCAATACCAGGTTTGGCTGTCCTGCAATAGCTCCTGGGAAGCATCTTTAAAAATGATTTAGTGTAGCCTTTTTGTTCTGCTTGCCATTTGAGTCATTTGGTATGAAATACGACCTAATCACACAAACAGCAGCTTCTCGTACAAGTTTGTTTGTAGTTAAGCGCTATAAACACACAACTCCTGCACCCAAGACTTACTCTAAGTACAGGGCTGACCCTAGTGGAATCTCTTCATCTGCAGGGACAGGAATCTTGAAATACATTTGACCATAAGTTTTTACTGGAAAGAATGTGAATGGTTTGAGTGAAGGACAGCATACCAAGGCAGAATTAGCTTAATGAAAGAATAAAAAAATCACATTTTGACCACTCTCTTCTCCCTGCAGCTAAAGAAAAACAATCCACAAAAAATCCTTACTGATTGCTGCCTCAGAACTCAGCATAAGCCATCCAACAAGCAAACAGTACCTGTAGAAATTATGTGAGCTGTCTACATGATCTTGGTTCCAACACTGAAGAGAATTCAGACGCCCATGTTACCAGGAGACAGCTGGAAAAGGAGGTCAGGGCAGAATGACAGGTAGCAACTCACTGAAGTTGCAACCAGAAGTGTACTGCAACTGCTGCTACAGCACCATAAAGCAGCACAGCCCCAGCAGTCTGACTGGTCACAGTTCTGCAGGTTCCTGAGGGGTAAGGACCCATTCAGCCCCTGCTGTGACAAGTGCTGGTGCTGAACAGTTCACTGCCCTGTCTTCAGGGTACAGAGGCCAACAGCTGCCTGACTTAGATGACAAAAAACCTCACTTTCCTTTTGTCTTAAACCCCGCAGATTAATATTCACAAGACACTTCTGTTTCAAGACATCTAAGGTAATCAATCAGTAAGCACTTGCAGGATCTGCGGCCACAGGACCTCAATAGAATTCAATGTGCCAAATACACTTCTGTATGCAGGTTATCAGAGTTGGCCGTTTTTCTTTTACTCCAACCAGAACTGGGGTTTTTTGAGAACTAGCTGAAGCTTTCAAAAGAAAAGCAGTAGTACTACTAGCTTGCCTAAACAACAAAGATCTCTAATAGCATTCTCTGAATTCCAGACTTTAAGAAGCAATGCACTGGATACATTCTGTCTTGGCAAGCAGAGTTTCAACTTAACAGCAGACTAGCAAGTACAAATTGGTCATATTTAAAAAAGCAACAACACTTACGATTACAGGATGATACTAAAAAAAGCAGTATGAACAGTTAAAACTTCACACACAGTAAAGAGTCAAAGTAATCTGGAAGACAGGCCACAATTCTGTCATCAGTGCAACGGAGCTTATTCATCACAGAATCAGTCCTCAGTTGGAATGCAAGGACAGCAGCAGTTCACAGACGCAAGCACCCCCTGCTTGCAGGAAAAGTCTTCAGAAGTTAACAAGCACCTTGAGCTTCCCTCTCAGGACGTATCCCCACAAATGCAGTGCTACCCACCCTTCTTCAGAGATGACAACTGCCAGAGTTTTCAAGGTGAGATGCCCAAAGACTGTGTTTTCATCCTCTGACGTCAACAAGGCCTTGGATGCACAAATCTTCTCAAAGTCACAGCTGCTTTGGCAAGGTATTCTCTCTTGAAACATCCATATTTGTAAAGTTCGTAATCTCCAAACTACCATCTTCTTGCCCAAATGTATTAGAAAAATGTAGCTGATTAAAACACGTTTGAGCATATTTTTCCATAATTACTCATTTTTAAAAATCATACTTGCTTACTCAGAAAAGCACACCAGAAAGACTTCATGTGCAAAGGGCTCTTTCCACCTTGGGGGAGAGGATTAAGGCCTAACCTAAGCCCCAGCAGGACGCTCAAAACTCAAGCTGTGTGGTGGTTGTAACAACCAGAGCAACAGTTTCACCAATGCACTTCACCAAATCCATTCTGTCTCACATCAGTTTCAGTTGAAAATTCCAGGATCGACATAAGGATATGCAAGAAATTCCCCCAGTTTATTGCCTTCCAGATCGTAATGGAGCATCTGAAAACAAACATCGCAGAAGAAACAAGGATCCTCTGGTGCCAGACTGTCGTTGTTGGTTACCCACCTGCAGGTTACAAAAAACAAATGTTTTCCATGCGAGTCCAACACAATTGTGACACTCAAGTCAGTATTTTATTCAGAGTTGGGGATGGCAGCACCAAACATCAGTGATAATGTTATACTGACTGGGTACTCTCTATACTCCATACCTTCCACCCCAACACAGCTCTTTTCCGAACTCCACACCCATCAGTGCCAATCCCAGCTGCTATCTTACACTGCTACAGCAGCATCTCCTGAGGAGTTCCTCACACCTGTGTAGCTGGTATGGAGCATAACAAAAAAACCCTCCCCCAGAGCGCCCCAAAATATTAACAGGAACCTTCTGTCCACCCCATGGCCATTTAAATCATAAATCTGTTTGCCCATAAGGTAAGAAAGTAAGAAACTGTGATGCAGAGCAGACACATGACTGACCCAAACTACAAGTCTAAAAGACGGACGTGGATGATGCAGACATGGAAAGGATTGCCACACGCTCTGGCAAACACTGAAGTTAACGTGAACACAGCTGCCAGTACAGGGAGGGCTCACCATGTCACCAAGCAATTAATTTATGGTAGGACTCAGGGGCCATGACAGCTCAAGACTTCCAGTGATTAAGGATGGTATCTGCACAGATTAGAGCATGCAGAGCAGCCAGCCAAAGCTTCTCTGCTGTCCATGGTTTAGTACCTCCCCACCTGAGCTTAGTGCTTAATCCTGGTTTTAAGTTAATGCATTTACATCACCTCTGGTAAAGCCCTTCCTATCCCATCTTTCCCCCATACTGACCCTTTGGCTCCACCTCCCCTTATGGTCAAATGCCCTGCAGATTACAGCCACTTGCGAAGGCATCCTGGGGGCTCTGCTAGGAGCACCAGGATGGGCTTCCATCACCAGGGGAATTGGCTCTTTGCCTGATTCCAGGGAAGTTCAAGGCCAAATAAGCAACATAACAAGGACACAGCTGCCGTGCTAAACTGAGGCTGAAAGCTTAAGCTGCCATCGGGGAAAAGAAGAGCAGCGAGTGTTCTTGTGAGTAATTGATTCAGACCTGTAAAATCAGGGAGCCTAGCCTAGTCTGTAGAACTCCTTTAGAAACACTTCTGCTGTGTCTACTGAATGGCTTTCTCACGTCTAAGTAAACAGCACTAACATGAATAAAGAGCACCAAATTCACATTCTGCTCTCTTAACTGCAGAAAACCCATGCCTCACAAATAGTTCCTTCAAATACAGCACAAGAGTTTTCAGGTAGAGGTCTACCCCTGGGGAAAGCTACAGCCCTTAAGAAATCTCTGTATTTTACTACATTACGTTTGAACAGATCCATTCTTCCCTCTACTTAGACACTAGATTTAATGAAAGCTCAGTACAATTTCTGGCAAATGAATCTGAATCACGTCTCTTGTCACAGGGCAAAAATGCAGCATTTTCCCCTCAAAAGTAAGATATTCAAAAGCAGTTGTTGAGAGCCAAGTTCTATGTATGCAAAAGAACATGAGCCAAATAATTAACCTCTTCATCACTGCAGATCTTCTGATCTCCCTGAATGCTACCTGCAGGAGACCTTTTCCTGTGTAGAGAAAGGACAACTGCCTAAATATTTGCATGAATATTTTTCACACACCTTATTAAATATGTACAGAGCTTTGATGGTTTTTACTAAGTTACTGGCATCACCTACAGAGACATAAGACAAAAAGAGCGAGAAATTAGCGTACCTGGCTGTATACATTTTGCACACAAAGCATTTTCTGGTACATAGCCAGTGTTTCTTGATTAGCAATGGATAGAGGTTCCTGTCCAGGCAGTCATCATGATGAATGAGCCTTGAGGGAAATAAATAAATACATAAAATACAATAAAGACTCGGCCACACTGGAATTTGTCTGAGCAGGGACACTGAAAACAAGGCATGATTTAAATTCCTGTGTAAACTGTGACTAGACTTCTGCTAAGCATTTCTTATCAGAGATGAAGAGCTGGAGACAGCCTGCTAGTTGCACCACCCCTGGATTTTATGGTCAGGAGTAAATTCAGTTTGTGCAGTAACTCAGAAACCTTCAGAACATTTACTTTAGATGGTCTTTTCAAAGATTTTACCTCCTACAGACCAACAGGTAAAAAAATCACAGACGAATGTTTAGAGGCTCATAATTCTGAGATCACCTGCTTGCAATGTCTATGCCCTTGAGTTGTATTTCTCTTTGGGGGCACCATTTATTAACAATGCTTAGGTACATCAGGCTGGGAACTCAAAACGATCTGCAACTCGCTACAATCAGAGAAGTGCTCTCTCTATCCCTTATGCACTGAGTATACACAATAGTTCTACTGTTGATGTGGTTGCCACCTCACAGCCAGTACTGCCTCCTCTTCCTCTCCTTCTACCCACCTTGGCCTACTACTTCCACTCCTCTGCTCTGTGTTCAGCTCCTGCCCCTTTCTACCGAGTCTAAACTAATAAGCCCATTGACTCCAGCCACTCCAGAATCGGTATGCAGATCTGGAGTACACAAACTGACCTTGCACAGAAAAAAACTTATCCCTGTAGGTACCATTCCTCACATACCGCAGTCATGCCGTGCTAGTTAGAAAGCAGTCCTTTTATGCAGACAAAAAAGGGGAGATTACTTTCTTCCTTGCAGAGTCAATCATATGTATGTGGAATAAAATCTTAAATTAGCCCTGTAGAAGGCAGCGAAATATCTTAGCCTAACAAATATTCAGCCTTTAACATCTGAAGTTTGTCCACAGAAGGGTTGCTTTCAACTGCCTATGGACTCCCGAAGAGCAGTAACTTACCTTATGTCCGTGATGATAATGATGTGCTCACAGTCCCCTTGGTGGCAGAAAAGGTATGGGAAGCCAATTTTGAGGGACAAATCATTGAATGTGTAGTCCTCCATATCATCAGACTGAAGATTTACATAGCCTCTGTCATGAGATTCTGACCACTCAATAACAGTTCTGAAAACAGAAAGGTCATCAGCATAGCAAACCTACAAACTGCAAATGACAGAAAACAAAAGGGGGACATGCAAAACCTGTCACTGGGATACAGTTAAAAAGATGGAAATCAAAACAGCTCATGACATTTTGTAATGATTTAAGGTAATTTCACAGCAATACCACACCCCCAGGGAACTGTGCGCTGTTCTCATGGAACACCTGCCCTTAAATCACCAGGTCACTTCCTGAGGAGTTCCATGTAGTGTAAGCTCCTTACAGCGTCCATCCATGTCAGGATGTTTGGAACACAACACTTCTCAACCATTCCAATAACTCAAGTTACAAGCAGGTAATTTCTGTTCCTTGGTCAATACCTTTGTTTCAATGTATTAAAAAGCTTTTTTCGTTTCTGTCAAAGAGAAACAAAGCTGACAGTTGAATACTTAAACTTCCAAAATTTAGCACTGGAAAGACACTGATGCAACTATTTCTGGGCCTTTCAGCACACTCCTGCATACAAGGCATTTCATTTCTACAAACTGCATTATGTTACCACAAGCCCTTCCAAAAAGATCATTGTTGCTCACGGACAGAAAGTAAAGGAGCAAAATAACTTCTCTGAAGTCACACACCAAGTCTGGCATAACAAGAACAGAGTGCAAACTCACAGCTCATCCATACCATCCATTTTAACATCTTGATCTCCTAAATCTCACAAAATGCATCAGCAAGCCCATACTTTCTTAAAACAAACTAGTTTGCACATTTTAAATGGCTATGACGTGCTCAACCAGCATGAGGTGCAGTTCCAAATAAGAGATACCTGAGTCTCTTCGCAATACCACCTCAGATTTCTTTTTCTGACAGTGGCTCAGTCCCCTTGTTGACTTCACCATGACGATATTCAGCATATTTTCAAAACCGCACAGAAAGCTGACTTTCACACAGCTGAGCCTGCTGTCCTTCTACCTCACAGACAAGTCTTTTGGTGGTCATCACAACTAGGGAGGGAACTTAAAAAACCTGTACAGACTGGCATCTGTCACAGCAACCCCATCCCAACAGAGCAAAACAGGATTTTAGGGGACAAACATGCAGTCAGCCCCTTTTCAGAGAGGAACTGAGTGGAAGGAATAAGCAGAACAAGTAAGGTTAAACTTTCATGTAAAAATCAGTTAAAAGTGAAAAGGTATCAAGAAAGTCCATTCTAGCTTCATAGACAACACATCCAGCCTTTAAAACACCACAGTTCATCAATAAAATGAAATAAATTTTCTGTCACTTAAGGTTTTCCTTAGTCAAAATCTACAAATACTGTACCTGCTCAGGTCTCTGCATTCTGGGTATCTTTTATCATTATAAAAGATACCTTCAAAATAAAAGAAGGCAGACTTGTAGAGATCCTGAAAGAGAGAGAGAAGGTCTGCATTAGTGTTATGGGAGACTAAAACACCTTAAACAAGAACAGACTGGGGAAAAAAAAAAAGCACTTTATATATATAAACTATGGTAAGAGACTTCATTCTACAGGTTTCTAAGAAAAGCTCTGCACTGGTTTTAGATGCTGATGTGACAACAAGGCTTGTAAGACTGCTAGATGTGCAGTTGTTCTGCTGATACTATTCTCAAGCCATTACAGGTTATTTTAGTGCTCTTCTCTTATTTCTATCCCCAGCATAGGAGTTACGTATTTCTCCAAAAACACAGAACAGGAACTCAAGCATCACTGCACAAACTGAGCAACTGCACAACACTGACTTTAAAAATAAAAAGAAAAAAAAACTAATAATATTTTTGAAAATGAGTAAGATGTAGTGGGCTGCCCCTCTACCCAGCTGCTCTCTCACTCCCCTGTATCAACAGACAGGGGAAAGCAAGCATGACAGGCAAGCTCACAGGCTGAAATAAAAGCAGTTTAACCAGAAAAGCAAAGGTTTAACACAGAAGTAAGGCAAAAAGAAGAGATCTATTCCCTGCTTCCCACCAGCAGGCCATGTCCCACCACTTCCTGGGAAACAGGGCTTTAGCTTGCATAGTGGTTGCTTTGAAAGACAAATTCTTTAACCTTTCCTCCGGCTCTTAATGCTGCACAAAACATCACGTGGCATGGGGCAACCCTCTGGCCAGCTGAGGCCAGCTGTCCCAGCTACTTTTACTCCCAGCCTGCTGGTCCTGGGTGGACCTGCAGAGAGACAGCCTTGAGGCTGTCAGCAATATTGTTCAGCAATAGCCAAAACACTGATGTGTTATCAAGCCAGCCGAGGCAAAAATGCAAAGCATGACTCAGAAGAAAATCCAGCAAAATGATGGAAAAAAAAATCCTTTCAAAATTCCCTCTTAATTACAAAGTTTGTCACATACATAAAGGCCATTTGTATCAGTCTATCAAAGACACATAATAATTAATAACCTATGGCACCCATACCAGGAGTGCAAGAGTCACTGGACTTCAAATTATCCCCCAAAACTGAGCTAGCCCATGAATCCCCATTACACACAATATATTCTGCAGCAGAGCTACAGACATAAAATCATATCCATTCACTAAAAAAAAGCAGACTCCAGCTGCAAGCACCTCCTTGAAAAGGAACAAAATAAGAACAGAAAAACATCTTGTTGAAATAGCACAATCAAGTATTGTTCTGTTTATCCAGTCTGCTCACACAACATTTACAGAGGTGTTCTGTCTTAAAGCCAGTATCGTACTTTTACAGCCTGGAGAACAAGAGGCTGGAGATCAGCCTCCTGGAAAGAGATCCAGGGGCTTAGGCTGATGGCAAGTTGAATACGAGTCAACAGCATGCCCTGGTAGGTGAAAGTCAGCTGTGTCCTGGGGTGCATCCAGCACAGCATCGCTACCTGGTCGAGGGAGGTGACTGTCCCACTCTGCATTCCCACTGGTACAGCCTCACCTTGAGGGCTGGGTGCAGCTGGGGGTGCTTCAGTATAAGGACAACAAACCATTAAAGTGTGTCTGGAGGACCACTTCACTGTGTCCAGAGGAGGGTGACCAAGGTGGTGAAAGGCCTCAAGGGCAAGACCTACAAAGAGTGGCTGAGTCACTTGGCTTGTTCATCTTGGAGAAGGCTGAGGGCTGCCCTCATGGCAGTCTACAACTGCTTCACAGGGAGCAGCAGAGAGGGAGCCACTGATCTCTCTGGTGACCAGTGATAGGACACAAGGAAATGGAATGAAGCAGTGTTCAGATTGGACAGTAGGAAAAGGCTCTTCACCGAGAGTGTGATTGGTCACTGGCACAGGCTTCCCAAGGAAATGGACACAGTAACAAGCCTGCCAGAGTTCAAGGAGCATCTGAATGACACTTTCTGTCATATGCTTCAGTTTTAGGCAGTCATGCAAGAAGCAGGGAGTTGGACTCAATGATCCTTATGGGACCCTTCCAATTCACGATGTTCTGTGATTCTATACAAAATATTCTGTTGGGTTTTGCAACTCAATACCAGCTATACAACAGGAGAAAGAAATTAACAGATTTACATTATATACAGAGAGAGGGTGAAAAACATACAAACTTTTTCTTTAGACATAAATATAATTTAACATCTAAAAAAGAAGTAATTGTTTAAAGGTCATACATCTGCTTCCCATAATTTCCATCCTCTGCTGTTGCTGTCAGAACAGCCTCTGTATAGACAAGTAGCTTGAGCAAACAGGAGACAATCAGGAAAGGTTGTATTTTTTGGTCTACGTAACTTTTATCTTTAAACTGTGTTCTTCCAAGTTCTTTCTGGTGTGTAAGAGGTGTTATTCTTGGTTTATGCTACAACTCTTTAAAGACTGAGGCCAGACAGCAGTGTATTTTATCAAACTGATCACAACACATGTACAGGGCTTAAGAAACAGTTACAAGAAGAAGGAGACAGCCTCCGCAGTGGACCCTGAAGTAGGAATATGCCTCAGACCACAAATCCACAGCAAGCAGGGAAAAATACTGTTCAGGTACTTTGTTATACTTTGCTGAAGAACAATAATAGAGGAGTGAGGGGTGGAAAATCACCTTTGTTGCAAGAGCTAACCTGCAAGTCTATCCTGGGCTGGAGAAAACAGGTTAGCTACCTTGCACAGCATTCACTACTGGAAGCTAGGCAATGTTGAAGGACACAAACCTAAACCTTCTCAATCCACTTCAGAGCAGAACACTACTGACTGATACTCAGGGATGCACTCCATGCTGTATAAGCAGCTACACACACCTACAACACGCACGAGTGATGCTGCAAAACACTCTATACACACACAGCTGATCTGTAAGTTACAGCATACTTTTTTCATATTTTCAATTGCACTTTGACAAAAAGCAGTGTTAAGAAAAAAAACCCGTTTGCAATTATACACTGCATTCAGATACAAAGCCTATTTAAATCCTCTGTTTGCTTCAACATACAGAAAACTGCAAGGAATCACAGAATCAACTAGGTAGGAAAAGACCTTTAAGATAATCAATTCCAACCATTACCCCAGCACTGCCAAGGCTATTACTAAACCACATCACTAGGGGCCTTATCTACATGTTTTTGAACACCTCCAGGGACAGCGATTCACCACTTCCCCGGGGAAGCCTGTTCCAATGCCTGACTATCCTTGCAGTGGAGAAACTTTTCCTAATATCCACTCTAAACCTCCCCTGACACTGCCTGAGGCCTTTAGCTCTTGTCCTATCACCTGTTACTTGGGAAAAGAGACTGACCACCATCTCTGCGATAAGGCTGCCCCTGAGCATCCTCTTCTCCAGACTAAACAACCCCAGTTCCCTCAGAATCCTTCATTCATGGGTCTCAAGAGCCTTTTGATAAAGTATTTCTCCAATGTATGTCAACATACAGCTTTATCACAGTGAACTGGTCCCCACCTCTACACCACTGTGTACAGGACACATTACACAGCATCCCAGCTCTCAGGTAAGTGAAGGTTGTATTTATTCATCAACAGATGCATGTGCAGGCAGCTCATGCAGATAATGACTGGGGAAGATACCTTCAAGCTTGGTTCCCTTCCATGATTAATTTCATAGAATAGTTAGGGTTGGAAAGGACCTTAAGATCATCAAGTTCCAACCCCCCTGCCATGGGCAGGGACACCTCGCTCTAAACCATATCACCCAAGGCCTCGTCCAACCTGGCCTTGAACACTGCCAGAGATGGAGCATTCACAACCTCCCTGGACAACCTATTCCAGTGCCTCACCACCCTAACAGGAAAGAATTTCCTCCTTATATCCAACCTAAACTTCCCCTGTTTAAGTTTTAACCCATTACCCCTTGTCCTATCATTACAGTCCCTAATTTGGTGACTGACTGCTCCTCACAGGACATGCCTTCCAGCCCTTCCACCAGCTTTGTTGCAATTCTATAGTGCATTCAAGAACTTTCACATCCTTCTTGAACTGTGGGCCCAGAGCTGCACATGGGGCTCAAGGTGAGGCTGTGCAATGCTGAATATTGCAGGATAATCATCTCCTCTGACAGGCTCGTTCTGCTGTGTTTGATGCACCCCAGGGTGCAGTTTGCCCTCTTGGCTGCCAGGGCACACCACTGAGCTTGTTTTGGCTAGCACCCCCAGATCACTTTCTGCATGGCTGCCCTCCAGCCACTCCTTTCCCATTCTATACTTGTGTCCTATGCTGTTTCATCCTAGGTGCAGAATCCAGCATTTGAACTTGTTACGTTTCATCCCATTTATTATTGCCCAATGAAGAAAAAGCAAAGAAAAATCACAAAACCCTGAAGCAGCAAGAGTGAGAGAGAAGTTAGGCCATTTATGCCAATAAAATCCAGAAGTCTCTTACTCCATGTATAGGGTGACAAGCAATGTTTGTTTACTTAAACAATGAGAGCAGTAACTTGATCCTTCCATTATGCCTACGTTCTCAAACTGCACTTCAAGAGAAGCAACATGTAACTTCCTTACACAGCCTTTGTCCTGCAGACTCTCAGAGCACCATGATTTCAATAAGTCTCTAAGGTCCTTAAATCAGTGAGAACTTAGTTTCTCCATTTGGAAAAGTTAACATACTTTTGGTAGGTCATGATGTCAGTCCCTTCCTAGGCTGGAAGGAAGAAAATCCCACCCCACTGACGGCTAATCTCCTGCCTGCTGAAGCACACTTTATCATTAAGACTACATACTGAACCTATACTTCAATGCAAATTCCAAATTCACAGTCATGCTTGAGGAAAACAAACAAATGGAATGAATGCACACCACTCATTAACAGTTCCTGGTAGGAGGCTAGGCATGGTGGCATACACGCACTTTGGGGAAACTGTGGATGTGAGGAAGCTTAACCTCAGCCTTGCTGAGGCTGACAGCACACACGACGTTCATGCATGCCCAGGAAGAGAGTTTCAGAACTCTCTGGTCTCAGAAATAACCAGCTAACACTTTACTAAATCATGGTAGACAGACTCTTCCATTTACTTTATATAAATGAAAAGACTATTATCTTTCCACTATTACGTATACAAGGATGTATATTTCTCTGGTTTCTCTCAGATTGTAGATGTTATTTTATGTCTATCATATTGATAACATACTATATTATTAATATGTAATCTTGGCAAAACAGCTGGGCCCCAAGGGTGATAATCAGTGAAACAAAATCTAGTTGGAGGCCAGTAACTAGCAGAGTACTCCAGGGGTCAATACAAGGTCCAGTTCTGTTTACCATCACAGAATCATTAGGGTTTTAAGGGCCACCTACAGCAGGTTACACAGGAATTCATCCAGGTGGGTTCTGAATGTTTCCAGAGAGGGAGACTCTATGATCCCCCTGGGCAGCCTGTTCCAGTGCTCTGCCACCCTCAATGTACAAGTTCTTCCTCATGTTGACATGAAACTTCTTGTTTGTTTTAGTTTTTGGCCATTGTTCCATGTCCTGATGCTGGGCATCACTGGAAAGAGTGTGGCACCATCATCCTGGCACCCACCTTTGAGATATTTAATATGCATTAATGAGATGCCCTTGATGACTTTAAGGATCATCAAGCTAGTTGATTCTATGGTTCTATGAATGAGATCCCCTCTCAGTCTTCTCTTCCCTAGACTAAAAAGGCCCAGCTCCCGCAACCTCTCCTCATGAAAGATGCTCCAGACTCCTGATCCTCCTTGTGGCCCTCCATGGACCTTCTTCAGTAGCTCCTTGTCTTTCCTGTACTAAGCCCTGAACTGTACACACTGCTGCAGATGCAACTTCATCAGGCAAATGGGAGGATCACCTCCCTTGACCTGCAGGCCACACTCCTCCCCAAGATACTATTCGCTTTCCTGGACACAAGGGTGCACTGCCGGCTCATAGTCAGCTTGTCATGCACCAATACTCCATCTGTCTTAATGGTCTAGATGTTGAGGCAAAGTTTGCTGTTGACACAAAACTGGGAGTGGCTGATACACCAATCATGCTTGCCACTCAAAGGAGCCACAACAGCCTGAAGAAATGGGCCAACAGGAACTTCAACACTGCGCACCTGGGGAGGAACAAGCCAATGCACTACTCTATGCTGGGGTCTCTCACCTGGAAAGCAGCTTGACAGAAAAGGACCTTGGCGTTCTGGTGGACACCAAGTTGACCAGGAGCCAGCAGTGTGCCCTTGCAGCAAAGGAGGCAAATGGGATCCTGTGCTGCATCAGACAAAGTATTGCCAGCAGGTCGAAGGAGGTGATCCTTTCCCTCACCTCAGCAGTGGTGAGGCCACACCTGGAGTCCTGTGTCCAGTTCTGAGTTCCTCAGTACAAGAGAAACATGGACATACTGGAGAGTTCCACAAGTGCCACGAAAATGAAGGGAGTGAAGCATCTCTCTCATGAGGAAAGGCTGAGAGAGCTGGCCAGTTCAGCTGGGAAAAAAGAAGGTTCAAGGGGATTTTAATACACAGGATGAGGTACAATGAGCACAGACTGAAACACAGAAGGTTCTCTCTGACCATCAGGAAATGCTTTTTATTGTGAGTGCAACCTAACACTGGCACAGGCTGCTCAAGAAGTTTGCAGAACCTCTACCTTCGGAGATATCCAAAAGCCATCTGGACATGGTCCTGGACAACTGGCTGTATGTGGCCTTGCTTGAGCAGGGCAGTTGGTCCAGATGACCTACAGAGGTCCTTTCCACCCTCAATTGTTCTGTGATAGGATGTATATTACATGTGATGTATTATCAAAATTATGCAGTTTCAGTATTTTCAATTAAGAGTACTTTTTCTTCTTTGACTCCTTTCGCACATTCCCAGAGAACACCTTACAACTGTGGGACAGGGGAACAGCCTTGACCCCTACTTTTGATCAGCACGTAGCTGCAAACACCACAGCATGCAAGTTCAGAGGGGCATGGCCTACATTTAGTTTTCTACCTGTATTTCTATTCTGGTGTTTTCCAATATAGCACAAAGTCAGTCCCCAGGGATACATCTGTGTGAGAACTCATTACCAGCATTACTGCTTCCCATTGGTAGCATTAATGATGTTTTTCTTGACATTGCACAAAACAGGTCAGCTTGGTAATGCCACCAGGAAGTTATTTACTCACAGTGCAACCCTCTGGCAGAAACAACGCAGTTTATCTAGTGCTGAAGAAAAAAAAATTCTGCTTCCCTCTCTCCTGTACATTTTCAAAGCTCCTACACATGCAGAAGGTTCCACACAGAAGATTTTACCTTGCTTACGTGTTCTGGTGCTTGATCTGGCTGACTGCTGAACTCACCACCTATCTGGAAGTCGCTGACGCAGGAAATTGAGTCTCTCAGCTCGGTGAGCTTCTGGCTGCCCAGTACAAGGACTGTCTGATAAGGTTTGTAATCTTTATGCTATGAAGAAAAAAAAGCATAAAAGCGTCAAATAAAAACTACTTGTCAGCATTAGTACTGCTCTTCAGCTGTCAGCTTGAGAATCATTTAGACTGGAAAAGAACTTCAAGATCATCAAGTCCAACCATTAACCTAGCACTACCACATCCACCACTAAACCATGTCAGCGTATGGCATATCACCTATGTGTACAAGATTTTAAACAGCACTTTGCCTCAGCGTCTCCTAAGGCTGCCATTTATTAGTTGTATTTTGTCACATTCCTCACCAGAAAGTGCAGGAAAAATAGGAGTTTGAGTGTACTTATCCCAGATCCAGAAAGGATTTGAGTATTTAGTTTCAGATTTTGAGCTTTCTGTGAAATCAATTAACTGCTAAGTAATTACTGCAATAATTGCCTTTGGTAAACCAGTAACAATGAAAGCCAGATTCTGGAAAAAGCTTGAAGAAGTTACACGCTGAAGGATTTACCACACTCCCTCAGTGGATGCACTGATTTTAACAGCTTAGGAAAGCACAATATTACCTGAGTAGGGAAGAAACATCAGAATACAACCTAGAGAATTTAGTACCAACCTTCTGAAATATGACAGGGTAGAATATGTTTAGAGTTAAAAGTAGCTCTCCCTCCTCAACTAGATCTGTAGGACTGTCTGGCCTTTTTCCACTTGCATGTGATTCCTGGAAAATAAAGATAGGTATGCATATATATATATATTTATATAATATTGGCAACCACTTATATAACATAGCCCCTGGATAAAAGTCTGAGAAACACTGTTCTAACTGCAACTCACTTTTGACTGTATAGCCTTCTGAATTGGTAACAGCCTACTTCCTCGAAGATGGAAATGTGAGAAGCTGCTGTAATTATGGATTTCAAGTATCTCCCATCATTCCTCAGCTCTGTGGAAGCTAAGGTGCTTTCAGCAATTATGAGATAGCTGGCTACTCCTTGCACATTGAGAGGCCCTGCATAAAGGAATTAAAGCTGCCACTCTGACCTTACGGAATACAGCTGCTACCAACTTCCACCATTTAATGTTTTTAATTTTTTTTTTTAATGCATTCACATGTAAAGGAAGATTACAACCCTCAACTTCAGAAAGACTGGCCTAGAAAACAGCCACAGGATGAAGTATATGAAAATAAAAATCAGTGCAACACTTGCTCTTATTAGGGAAACTTGACACTGCTGGAGCTCTCAATTTCTCCAAAATCCAGCACTACCCTTGCCACACTACTGTTTTACAGAAGAAGTGAAAGCATTTCCACGTTTCCACCCTACTTTATGTTTAAGACAGAGCCCAGCTGTGAGAATAAGGGAGGGCACTTTTCAGTAGTCCTGTTTACCCCTTTTTCAAGAAATCATGAGAGAATACTGACTGCATGAACACTTCCCACCAGCTTCAAGTGTTCTTCAGATTCAATAACATGAGAGTGTACTGATATGAGACTTCAGTTCTGAGATCCTTGCATCTCCCTTTTTCATGTGACACATTCCAAACTCATTTTTATTTTTGCTCTCTTCCTGTTCTAGTACACCATGGTCCTAACCAGCTGTGACACAGAAACCCCCTTACCACAGCTTAAAGGATGCAGTAACTGATCACATACTCATTCTTCAGAAACAGAAGACACCACTTATTGAAGCCCTCTATGAAGATTTTTACTGCAAGTATTTGCTGAGACGTGTCAGGCTAAGAGCTCAACATAGCTGTTGCATCTCAGTTTGCACACAATGCTTAGATCATGTGCCTGGGTCTCTGGACAGTTGAAACAAAACCACTCATGACAGACCAGGAAACCTCAAGGATAAAAAAAATGTTTTCACAGTCACAAGTGAGGCTCCTTCCCCACTACTCCTCCATCCCTAATTTTTACAAAATTCATGGCTTGCTTTCTCAAGCCTTGGACTGCACCACTGTAAAATTTACGAATGTCAGTTTTCTTGTTTCAGACTTTCATTGTGAAGAAATCTTAAAAAAAGAGTTACTAAGCATAGTTAAAGGAATTCCAAGATGCTTTTGAGGGGCTGATCGCTAAACTCCTGGTTCCTGTCAGCTCAGAATGGCAAACTTGGGTTACAAAGCTCAGAGTTAGAATCTTACTGCCACCATGTGGCAGTCCTACTGCCTCCCTCCTTCAGTCCTACAGAAACTAGCTCACAGTTATTTACACATTTCCGACAGAGGACTCCAGGAGCAAAACCTTTACATGTTTTGTCTAGCTCTATGATAAGTTCACGTAATCCTCGGTACACCTGATCAACTACACACCGCTTTATTAACAACCAAATAAAAACAGACATATAGCAGTAATGAGACAGAGCTCCTCTTTAGTACTTCTGGTACTTACAGACCATAGGAGCAGTGTTCCTGCCCTATCTTTCTATAACATGTCTTTAATCTTAATCATTACCTGCAAACCCCTACCTGCAAACACTTACATTGAATAGAGACTCACAGTGATGAAAAAACAAAGCAACCAGAAGTTGGACTTCTGCTGTACTGAACTACCTTGAGATCCTAGGATGACAGGGAACTTACCATCTCATAGGCAAGAGTTTCTTGTCTGCAAGCCCGATCCACAATAATTGTTTCTTCTCTCCTCTCTAATGCCTCTTTTCTAATTCTGAGGGCAGGAACACAGGACAAAATTCCATTCAACAACTTCCATACAGGATGTGTAAGTATACTTTTAAATAACACAAGCCACTACAGTGCAGCTTCAAAAAGCACGACTTCTGGCTGTTTTAGTATGACAGACTAACTTAAAATACTCTTGTCTCCCAATTCCCACAAAACCTGGTCATGCACACTGGCATGTAGATTTCAGATTTGTTTTTGTTTTGCTCTAAGTGCAGACCACAGGTTGGTTGTGGGCAATTTTACACTTATGAGAATTAAAAAAAAGAAAGAAAACCTGCAAAATTTTGTGTGAGGAAGCTTTTACAGAAAGTATGATTTGCTACCTTCAAGGAACCTGTTTCAACTATGCCTCACACTTCAAAGGAATTCAATTCATGCTCAAACAAAAACCAGGAAAAAAACACAAATATTCTCAATCCCATGACATAGATACTTTTATTAAAAAAAAAAAAAAATCAGTACCATTTGTAGAAGAAAGAGTATTATACACAGAATATCTACTAAAATAAACACATTTAACCCCCGCATGAACAGCAAATCCTTCTGTACTTCTGGCACAAGGCCACCTACTCTCTAGGCCTCCCCAAAGGTTTTCAGTAACAATCAGGCTTAACACTGATGACAATCCTAACACCTTTTTTACATCCTGTGCAAACTGAAATTCAAGTATAGCAAAGGCCTGGCCTGGCTGAGCATGAATTCAAAGTTCACTAACTGACAGAATCTTAACATATATTGTTCAACACCTGAAATGCAGAATAGGTTTAGATAAAGATGTTATCTGGCTATGACTTCAGTACTTAACAGTTTGGATGTTAAAATGTGACTACAGGTTACTAGCTTATAAGGGCTACAGATTTACTTCACAAGGCTTTGGAGAAATCTCTCACCAACAATTGTGAGACGTCACCCGCACACTCTAAATTTAGGCACTAGTTCAGAAGGACATAGGTCCAGAAATCCTAAGTTCTTCCAATGGGAAAGATGGCATATTCTGTCTATCTTAATAAAAAATTCGTAAGTAACATTAAGCAGAAGGCTCATACCAATTATCCTGTCATAAGCTGGTGTTTCTGACCTTAGAGTATTTCTGGACACTGCTTCAGAAAGCAGACCATTGCTTGGAAAAGGAACAAGCAGCCAGCCATGCTTTTGTGTGTTTCCTACCCCACCTCATATCAGGGTATTGTGAGTGTACTGTAACAACATACCGTAGAGTTAGCAGCCTGTTATCTTCAGGAATAACATCTGGGTCCTCTTCTTTATCAGAAGACATTAACATATCAATGCTTGGGCAATAAAAAAAACATAAGACCACTATTATACAGGTACAAACATGGTCAAGACATCACATTTACACAAGCTGTCACTGCTGTATTAAGGCATTAATTTATGCCACATTTCTTCCAGTGGGAAGAAGACATTTCTGTCAGAAGTGGCAGGTCCACTTTTCCTTGTATCCTGCTTTCCATCCTCAGATCTTTTCCACCGTCACTCTTCCTGTGTTTGCACAGAATCCAGAGTAGAGGTAACCACAGTTTTTTTGCTGTAGTGCAAATCCCTGCAGCTTGTGGGAAGGCAAAGTGGAACTGCTTTGGCTGCAGCAATGACTTAAAAGCGATCATACAAACATTACATTTTTATAATCACATGCATTGAAGTCTTGGAAGGTGTTGCTGTACGGCCTTTTACACAGGCCATCGTGGAGCTCCTCCCAGGTAACTCCACTACAGCAAGTGGAACCACACCACTAACATTTAGTCCACGTTCCTGAGGAAAACAGACTTTACAAACGGAAAATACGTGCTAATCCCTCCAGAAATTAAGGCTAAGTAGTCAGTGCTGTACACCTAACAGATGAAAGTGCAGGCAATATGAAGCATGCACCGGGCACACCCCACTTCAGCCATAACCATGGGATTCCACCATGCCCCCTTTCCTGCACACAAGACAGATGCACTCAGTGCAGTCAGTCATAGCAGAGGGGATAACACTGCCCATACTGTTTAATGGACACTGACGTGAACTGTAGGACAGTACCAAGGAAGAGTAGTTGCAGGTCCCACTTGAAAAAAAATATGCAAAGTGTTCTACGAAATTTATGTCCCCTAGAAAAGTATTTTAAGGCAGCCAGAAATAAAAAGGCCAAAGGAAAGTCTGTGGAAATTTGGATATGGAAACAGGATATCAGTGAAGCCTTCAATCACCATGACTTTTCTCAGAATATCCTAGCAGCCCAAAGAACCTTCTCAGTTTTAGAAATTCAAAGATGCTTTAGTATTTTGTCTGATATTTTCATAGTGAGCAGATACAATGTTTGTATTACTCTTCATATTGTGTATGTTTTAAACACAGTACTTTCATCATCTTTGAGACACTAATACTACAAGACACTAAATACTAATACGCTAAGATGCTAAGGCTAGCTTAATGCAGCTTTATAACACGTTCCTACAGATATTTACAACTACCCCTTCTAATAAAACAAGAAGGTGAATTAGCACTGAAGTGGAATAAGGTACATGTAAGCCTCACCTATGTTAACCTACCTAAGATCCACACTGATTTGAGCCTTAGCCTGTCCTACATACACACAACAAATCACTCAAAAGGCAAACCAGAATAATATGACTTAGCATCTCCAACATTCAAGCCCTTCAGCTGCTCAAACACCAATAATGAATTCCAAGGTAAACCTCTGCTTGCAGACCGCAACAGCATTTGAACAAAACTTAAACCCTTACCCTACCAACACCTTGGTTATTTAAGAGAACTACTGATGTTATTTCCTAGTTAAGGACACCACTTCTGCACCTGTTTAAAATCTGATGAAAACCCAAGCAATCTCTTAGCAATTGTCTACATGCAATATAAGCAGCATGAAAAGCGTTTTTCTGAGTCAAATTTGAGTGACAATGGATTATCTTTTTTCCTGCATTCTGTCTGCAGTAACATATTACAGGAATAAAACATAAGGAAAACAAAAATCCACCACAACATACTGAGATGCACAGAGTTAAATAACATTTAACCATTATGCCAGTTTTCCTTACCAGAAGACTCTAAATTGTCAGCAATACTTAAATGCACTATGTCACTATATTAAAAAATAAAAAAGAAAAATTAACTTCATTATAAGTCCATTAAAGATTATCTATTACTATTTTTAAAGTAGATATAGGAGGAGTATCCACATCTTCCCATCTCTCTTCCACCCAAAGAAAACCTCCTTAACTTGCCCTAAATTCCCTTACAAGTAGTTCAGTCAGAAGAATCTGTGTTTGTATCCAGGATGTGCTCATTTCAGTGCCTAGAAAACGATATTTATGCTGATAATATATGTGTCCCCAAGACACCACAGAATAGAACTTAGTGGAGCCCAGTGTTCATCTCTTCTCAAGGCAGGAATACAAACCCGGAGCAGGCAAGTGAAAGTTATCAGAGGTAGTGATTTGAGGTTAGCCAATGTTAAGGAGAGACTCAGAAGGTCAGGTCTATTTAATTTAAAAGCAAAACCACATGAAGATTAGGGATTGGGATTTCCAGCCTGCACAGGGGACAGGTCACATGAGGATGTGCATGTTTATCTTCATTCTCCTGCAAAGCCAACAGGCAGCTGCCAGGTGATTTGTTCTCTCCCGTCATAGACTCCCCATTCTTTTTTTTCTCTCCCAAACCTTTCCACAGTACACTCAGCAGCAAACAGCACAGATCTTAACACCAGCAAACACAGACAGCGGATGAAATATCGTAGTCGTAGACTGAAGAAAGCAGAATGTAAAGCAGAATGAATGAAGGAAAAAACAAAGCATAGAAAATCTGCTTGGAATTCCATTTTCACATTTCCCATAATTTGGGGAATAACTCTGAAAACATTAGATGGACATGCTCATGACACATTTTTTTATATGCACCCTTCAATGCAGAGCACTGAAGGAAAATCCTAGCTGTATTTACCAAATTATGCCTTCTGCACTGCTTCTGTGCCTGAAAGTGAAAACCTCTATCTTGCATTCACAATAGCTTGTAAATACTTCTACACCTTCCAGGAAACAGTAAGTGAAGGCCAGAACTTTCACAACGCTATACAGATAGCAACAGAACTCTGACATGTCTTCCTTAGTGATAAGATACAGACAAATTATTAATCTTTACTTTCTGTAGGAGTTACTGCCTGAAAACAGGCTTTCCTACAGGTGAGAGACGATTCTCACTATTCACGACCTAAAAGCCTTCCAGCTCTAGTATATTTGGTATCTAGATGGTTCTTTTTTTTCGACACTAGTCTGCAATTCACTGGTCCACAAATATGAGTAAGTTACAACTGCAAAACAAGAGAGTGCCTTATCTTTCCCAGCCCTAGTGCCACCTGGGCTGTTAGGGCAACAGCACAACCAGCACAAAAAAGCACTTCCATAGCTTTGACTTCACCTCCAGCCCTGACTGAAAACAGTCAATAGAGGCCAAGGGCCGAGGTAAGCTCGAATGTTAACGTATGTTGCCATTACCAGGGCTTATCTAAATGATGTTAATAAAAAGAGATGCCTAGCTCTTTTTCTTCATAGAAGTTACGCCTTTCATTTTGCAACTGGGGCTTCTTAAATCCATGCACGTATTCCTGTAACTTCAAGTTCTAACCGAACAAGTAACACGTTGATAAATATTTACTTAAGTAACTTAAGTGCTTAACTGTTCATGCCATAACACAAAGTTTCCGCTAGCGGAGCATTACACCCCAGGAACACGATGGTCCCCTTTTCCACAGCGCATATACCCGGGTGATAAAGCCCCCACGTGGCTAAGATCCGGAAACAATCGTTCTGGGCAGATTTGCCCGAGCACCTCTCGCCTCTCTTTGAAGCACCGGCGCAGAGCCCGAGCCACAGCACCCACAACCACGCCCCGGTGCGGCCTCTGCTGCATCACACGCAGCGAGGCCTCAAGCTTCCCGCTCGGGATGGGACAAGTCCCGGCCTGAGGAAAGGCAGAAGTTTCAGCCCTTCCTCGGGACTCCCGGCAGGAGGAGCCCCGTCTCCCCCACCCGCCACATGCCGCGTGGCCACCACCTGCACACTTCCTGCAGCTCGGGCACCATCTCCACCTCGCAGCCCAGCTCCGCCACTACGGCCGCGTCCTCATCGGCTGCCGCCTCTGCCGCCAGAGACAGGTCTGGCGGCCCCAAGTGCTGCATCCAGCAACGGCTGAGCGCGCCCACGCGGAACGCACGGGTGTACAACTCCGCTGCCTCGTAGTCGGGCGCAGCCCCGGCCGCTTCTGCTTCTGCCGCTGCCGCCGCCATGACCGCCGGGCCTACGCGCAGCTCGCTGCAGTCTGTAATCCACACCGACTGCGCGTCACTGCCGACTCAGGCTCCTGGGCCCTGTGGGCGGGCTCAACAGCAGCGGGCGAGCACAGACAGGCTGCCCGGAGCGGTGCCGGTCTGCTGGATCGGAGCGGAGTGGAGTGGAAGACGCCGAGGGCCTTTATCAGGCCTCCGCGCCTGCAGGGTCTTCCGCCTTGCTACCCCGGGGGAGGGGAGCGGCAGCGGCAGCGGCAGCAGAGCTCTTGCTGTGGCGCTGGGAAGTGCCGGGCGCTGTTCATTAAACACAGCCTAAAGAAAAACCTGAAGTTACTAAAAATGCGTCGTGTCTGTGGGTTTACAGCGGTCCAAAGTCTTTAACCGAGCTTATCCAAAAAGCTGAATTTTCTTAACACCAAAGTGAAAATATAATGCTTGCCAACCTTCTTTTTGTATCATCTATGTTCAGTAACACCACGAACAAGGTTCCTGAACTAGATAATGATTTAATAACACTGCTCATACCATCGCTTTAAAACCAGGGATCTCTTTGCCTCCATCTTGCTTTCTAGCCATGTGGGATTAGTGATGCACTCCAGGAGCAGTGTTTTCAGGGAATATACAACGAATACCACAGTGGACAACTGCAGAATTTTCTTGTGTTGTATCACCTGGGAATGCCCACTGCAACAGCGTGACAAAGCTGCCATGAGCAGAACCTGTTAAGAAAGAGGCAGAAGTCATTCTGGATTGAGAGAGAACCTGATGTACCTGTTCCTCATACCAGTTGAACCACGGCCTTCTCAGTTGCTTCAAGCCAAAACATCCCATACTTCTTTAAAAATTAAAATAATACTTTAAAAGAATGTGTTAGGAGGTGGATTGTTGGATCAGAGGGGAAAGGTAAAACCAGGAAACATTCATGAGAATTGGGTCTTTGCAAGCTGCATGGAAGGGTTAGGGTGCTGACAGCATAAGATCACAACATTTCCCTGCTGCTTTCACAAAGGAAAGTAGTTAAGGGGGAGAGGTAAGAATGTAATAGCACAACCTGGTGATACAAGAGCATGTTTTGCTTTGTTTAGCAATAACAGCATCATCTAAAGCCCTTACACCTCCCCCACTTATATTTAGAATTGCACTGCATTTCAGTGCTGAATTTATTTATTAGCTGTCACTCACCTCTGCCTTTTAATTGCAGTTATTATACATTATAGAGCTCTTGCTAAGCTTCAGCCTCTGCTTTCTTAATCCATCACCTTTGCACAACATGACACTCCCCAGCTCTGGAAGTAGCTCTTGATTAAGGGCTGTTACCCTCACTTCCTGTTGTATCCTCCCTGAAACTTACCAGTTGATCTGTGAGGGATTCTCATGCCAATTTCCAAAACCATGCCTGCCTTTCAGTGTGCCTGTTTATATTAGGAACATACCTCTCCCCTTCGTGTACTTGGAGCGTCACCTGAAATTTGGAAACACCCCACCACTTACCTGTTGTAGCCACATCTGGGGTAGAAGTGCTGGGGCTGTCTTGATCTAAGTGCACTGTTGACATAAACATGGAGGAGCCGTTTCATCCACAAGTAGCAGGATTAAACCGTACTCTTGCAGAAAACTATGAGAAGTTTTTAGTGTCTTTTCTATGAGAAAGGAGGTAAGATACTGGTTTCAAAAACCTTTGGAAAACCAAACATGCCAAACTGTATGGAAATCGGTGGGCTGGACTTTTTTGTAAGATCACATGAAAATGACATCAGCGGAATTCTTTTGCACAAGAGTGGTCACTGCCAACCACAGTCCTGTTACAGACAGGAGTGTGGTTTGGAAGGGGCTAGTTACTGCCGTGCTGTAATTATTCATATTTCTTGGAATAATCCCCATGGGCTGTTTAGGTAGATAGATTAATTACCCTCACTACCTCTCTTCCTCCTCCCCATGACAGGACTGATTTTGGAGTTCCTCTGCAGTACTTAAAGACAATGTAAAGTACATAAAGCTCAGGCAGGAAGACAGGATAAGTAGAAGTTCAAGGAGCAGCCAAGGTGAAAATACCAAAGGTGGTAATTTTTAACCATGAGTGGATAACATGTATTCTGTTTCATTTCCAAACTTCAATACTAAGAAGTCATATACTTACAAAGCAACTCTGCTCAATCCAAATCCTCTTAAGAACAAAGAGAGCTATTTATTTTTATAGCTTGGAATTAATCTGCCCTTTTTATAGCAGGCACAAGGCACATGGGCACTTCAAGGTTTCCAAGAGGTGCTTACTTTCCTCCGCTGGAGAGACTTTAATAATTCAACATTAAGGCAATGAAGGATGTATGAAGAACTCAAGCAGTGTAAACCAGGCAGGTATTAACCTGAATTCTTTTAAGACAAGCAATGCTGAAATCCAAAGAGCACTGAAAGACCGTTTAAGTTATGGGAGAAGTGTAGGTAATGCAAAAGAGACTGGAAAACAAGCTAATAAAAGCACCCTATGTGCCAGAGGAATAAAAAGAAACTGTAACTAACATGCTACTGAAGAACTCAGGTAGCCTCCATTTGGTACTCCTCTGGTATCCTGCAAGCTTAGGAGGCTCATTTTCAGAGTTCACAGTACAGAACTCAAATGAAGGTCAGTAAACACTCTGGGTACATAACCTTTCTGAGAAGCTGGTCCTAAATGGTCCAGGAAGACTAAGGCATTAGACATTAATTAAACCCCTTAGTTCCAGGATGGCCTTTCAACACAAGAAACATTCCTTTGTTGATTCACACAGCCTCAGAAAAACATAAATATTTGTCAAGCTTATCACATTCATGGCAGTAGTGTATAGTGCTTGCTCCAGCACACACAGTCTTAATATAATGACATGGTAATGCTTATGAAAGAGCAGTTTTGTGGTGTAATTATAAATCAGATTTTATGCTGTTGTCAACCCTGGCTCAAATCTCTAAATTTAGAAAAGTCATTTAAAGTACCATGGGCTTCCACTTCAAACAAAAATCAGCATGATAATCACATGCACTCCAGCAGGAGTGTCATGACACTAGCAAAATTGATGTTTGTAGGTAGCTTGAAAAAACTTTGGAAAGTTGGTGTTAAGCATTACTTTGGTTTGGTATTTTAGATTCTGTCCTTGTTCATTACCTCAGTCATGAGTTCTGTGGTACCCTTGTACTTTGGCAGACAAGGAACCTTATCAGTGGTTTCTAAGCACTGTCTCAGCACAGCAATTACACAGATACAGAAAAGTTCCATGGCTGTCATTTTAGGAGATGAGGCTTCAACAGCTGTCAGGTTTTATTTTGTTATGCCATCTATTGCAGGTCTCTGTTGTGAGGGTGCAGCAGTCCTCTCAATGGTGGCACCCAAAGCACTGATCAAACCCAGCTGAAAGTACTCACTCAGTCCTACATACTAAACAGTTCTGATACACTATTACACTGAGATCATATTATAAACTACAGTGTTTATAATATGATGTCAGACAGGGTTGCATTGGTTACAGCCAGCCTGGTGTTCACAAAGAGTGGGAAAGAATGGGGAGGCCAAGCAATGCCCTGCTTGTCACTGCTTCCAGAATTCCCATGCCAAGGAAGAGTGGTCTGGGGGTGTGGCAGCCTTTGCATCAACGACTCACTAAGGCAGCCACTAATACCTTTCACTATTACACCTGAACAGGAATGATCCATTCCTAGAATGTAGCTATAGGTGGGACAAAAAGTAACTTACATTACTTCTACAATAAAGTAAAATATTAACACACATAAATACATTCATAAAGGCTCTGCACAGGTCTTTATGTCTAAACAGATCACATAAATTAGCAGGCAATTTGAAAGCTGTGTAACAAAAAACAAACAAACAAACAACCCAACAAACCAAACAAAAAAAAAAAAAACCCACACCACAACACCAGAAACAACTAAAAAAAAAAATAAATCTGGTGGTTGGCAATTTCTGAACTACTTCATGGGTGAATATTACTTTTACATAACCTAAATGTTCATCTCATGAATGTTGAGCAGTCAGAATTATTTCCTTGAAGGATTTCAAACTACCTCTGGTGGTTGTTCTTGCTTGCCATTAAAACAGCTGAAACTGAAGACAGAGACAAGCTTAAGAGAAAGATGATGACAGGGATGCATACAATCCAAACCAGACCAAACAGAGGTCTGGTCTGTAGGCTAAATGTTGCTGACCCAAGTAATTCTGATGTTTACAGCTGAATTTGAGTATATAACTGGAACAAGGAACAAAGTCACACATAAAGCAGTAGTAGTATTACAGAGCAGACACCATCTATAGTTGTGAAGTATGTTGTAGGTTATTTTCAATCACGAGCAAGCACAGCAGTAAATAACATTTTGTTGAGGAACTGGAGCTGCTGAAGTTGTACAAAACTTTTACTCCAGTAGTAATTTCCCAGCAGCATTCTCATTTCAAAGCTGGTTTGTATAGTGAAACACTCCAATAAGTACAAAAATGCACATCATGGATGCTGTTTTCACTTGCAGCTTCATTGGAAATTTGTCACAAGTATCATTCCTAGGTTCAGTCATATGCCTGATCATGTTTGCTTTTCATGTTTTGCTTGTTACAAGTTGGAAGGGGGTGCTTCAGGATGTCACTTGGGACTAGAAACTCAACTGGTGAAATTACCAGGTAGAAAACATGACATGTCTGTGATATTTGCAGGACAAAGAATTGTAGTAATTGCTTCTGCAAGATGTTTCATCTGATCCATCAGCTGCCTTTGGCTGAAGACTCAGATGCTGAGGTCTTCAGCCAAAGACCATGTGAGTCTTCAGCCAAAGGGCATCTGAGTCTTCAGCCAAATGATGCTGATCAGATGCTGAGAGCATCTGACCTCAGCTTGGATCTCCAGAATAGTATAAAAGCAAACCTTGGTATCTTTAGAATAAAATACATGTTAACCTCCTTCAATTTAGGCTTCCCATTCCATGGCCAACAGAATAATCTCCCATCTACTAAATAAAGCCTATCTGTTAGTGACAAGACAGATAATAATCATGCCTGTTTCTTATTGTGTGGGCGTAATTCAGGGAGGTGCGCTACCATCAGAAATTGGAAGCTATTCCTGTACACAGATCTGTCAAATGCCAGTGATGATAATTACTAATGATTATGCACCAATTGCTAATGCGGTCTAGATTTAGCATTCTAAAATGGGGACAGCCTGGCAGTTTTTCACATGGGTGCATGTTCAGGGTAAATTTTTAATTTTTATTTTCTAACAGTAACTCTTCGTAAGGAAAAAGCTAGTATTCAGTAGCTGAAATCTGGACTGCCTAAGCTTCATGGAGTTTTAGACTTCCTTTACGTGCATGTAATATTTCAACTTAAGAATACTCTAGGAGGCAGAGGGGGAAGTGTTGCCTAAAGCCTATTAAAATAGAGGATGTTGGGTGAAAGACGAAATCATCTTCCTGGTAGAAGAGATTTATACTAGGTCAGAGTAAAATGGGAAGTTGTTATAATTCATTTGCACTGTGGAATCTATGCTGCATGAGATCTGTTGAACTAATCAGATGTTTTGTGAGCCCACACAGCACAGCTGGGAAAGGCTGACAAGCTTTTAAGTACACAGAGCATTTATTAGCTGACAACGCAGATATAGTAAACTCACAGCTAAGTACAGAACAATGTAAAGAGATCTCTCAAAACTTTTTGAAAAAGACTGCTTAACCCTCACCTCTGTAGTCCTCTCTTTACAGGATTTGAGCAGTCATCTAAATCTTACACATCGGGTTTCCAGTACTGAAAGACAAGCTAACCTGAAATGGCAGTTCGTGTAAACCACTTGGAAACCACTTGTTTTTTCCTTATGGGTATTCTTGTTGCTGATGCTGTTGCAGTTGCATTCTTTTCATCTGGAACAAAGGGATGATCTTACTGTGTGACCATATCAGCACTAGCATCAAACAGAGGAAGAATGCATGAGGAGGGGCACTGTGGGTTTAGATCACTGTAAGGCCTCAAGAGCATAGTAAAGCATTCAGGGAGAGCATCCTCTGTGCCCATCTGTTCGCTAATCATGAAGGTACGCTTTGTAGGTGTGAGAAAATTTTGAACATTTAAATGGTGGGTTGAAAAGTTGTTTCAGTTTCATACAAATGGCATTTTGCAAACTTATGCTTAAACTCATGAGATTTTCTACAACTAATACAGTTTAAGAAATACCTATTATTGTTGCACTAGGGAATCTTCATTCTGCTAAATGGGCAGTTTCAGCTGTTCTGAATTCTTTGAGAATTACTGTATACCTAAAGAGGCCTACAAGAAATCTGGAGAGGGACTTTTATCAAGGGCATGTGGTAGTAAGTCAAGGGGGAATGGCTTTGAACTGAAAGAAGGAAGATTTAGATTAGAGGTAAGGAAGAAATTCTTTACCATGAGGGTGGTGAGGCACTGGCATAGGTTGCCCAGAGAAGTTGTGGATGCTCTGTCCCTGTAATTGTTTGGGGCCAGGTTGGATGGGGCTTTGAGCAACCTGATGGTTGCTCAAAGTGGGAGATGTCCCTGCCTATGGCAGGGGGGTTGGAATTAAATGATCTTTTGGTCCAACCCAAACCACTCTGTGATTCTATGATTCTGTGATATAACTGGCATTCTGATTAAGCAGAACAGTATGAAAAGGAGTATGGTTGCACATGGTTTGTGCCTTTTAGACACTGACTGTGATTTGGTCCTCAAAATACTGTTCTCCCTGACTGCATGTGTGCTGTCTTCTCTGTAGCTCCCAGGATGTTTGCTGTCCACATTCCCAGTGGCATCATCCTCTCTGTACAGAGCCTGGCTCTATGTCACATAGGACTTCTAAACTGATGGTGTTCTCCTCATTCTCCCCTGAACTGTGGACCAATCCAGCAATACAGGCAGAAGGAACAACTAAACCACCACCATCTGGTCAGCTGTATCCCTGTACTCTCCTGTGTTTAGCAGCCTTCCAGTATCTGAAGGGAGCCAGTAAGGATGCTGGGGAGGGACTTTTCATTAGGTACTGTAGTGGTAGGACAAGGGGTAATGGATTCAAACTTAAACAGGGGAAGTTTAGACTGGATATAAGGAGGAAGTTCTTTACTGTAAGGGTGGTGAGGCACTGGAATAGGTTGCCCAAGGGAAGTTGTGAATGCTCCATCCCTGGCAGTGTTGAAGGCCAGGTTGGACAGAGCCTTGGGTGACATGGTTTAATGTGAGATGTCCCTGACCATGGCAGGGGGCTTGGAACTAGATGATCTTAAGGTACTTTCCAACCCTAACTGTTCTATGATTCTGTGATTATGGAAAAGAACAGCTTTGCACTGCAGAAACCTCAGGTGATGGCTCTTTACTTTGCATTGCCAGTGCATGAGGTGACTTTTACAAAGTAAATTAATTGGTACCACCTCAACTGGCCTGGGGGTTTATGTTACGGTAATGAATGTTTAAATACTACTGCTGCTCCCTAGGAGACAAGACTCCATTTGGTTACCATTAGCTACTAATGCCACTGCTGTGGTTTGACTGACCCAGGGAGAGACTGGGGGTAAAAGAATACAGTCACTGTGGTTCTCAGCTCCCATCACATAGCTCCCAGTGAGAGGATGTCGTGGGTTAAGCCCAGCTGGCAATCCAGAAAACCACACAGCTGTTCGCTCACTCACCCCACTTCCTCCCCCAGCTCCTGAAGGGATGGGGAGGAGAATCGAAAGAATGTAACTCCCAAGGGTTGAGATAAGAACAGCCCAGTAACTAAAGTATAACACAAACCACTACTGCTACCACCAATAATAGTAATGATAAGGGAAATAACAAGGGAAGAGAATAAAACTGCTCACCACCTGTGGACTGATACCCACCCCAACCTTAGGAGTGATCTAGCCCTTCCAGGTAACTGCCCCCAGTTTATATACTGGGCATGATGTGCTGTGGTATGGAATACCTCTTTGGCTAGTTTGGGTCAGGTGTCCTGTTGCTGCTTCCTCCCGGCTTCCCCTCCTCCCTGGCAGAGCATGAGACTCAGAAAGTCCTTGGTCAGAGTAAACATTACTGAGCAGCGACTAAAAACATCAGTGTTATCAGCACTGTTCGCAGGCTGAAAGTCAAAAACACAGCACTGCAGCAGCTACTGAGAAAGAGAAAAATGACTGCTACTGCTGAACCCAGGACAGAGGCATCCTTAGTTATAAGCCAGGACTAATCTGGAGATAAACGCGTTGACCTTTGTAGGTTGGGCTATCTGTACACAGGCCTATTACAGGCAGGTAATGTATACATATTCTAAGTAATTATATGGTCTCACAGGGTTATGCAAATACCTATGAGAGCACCAATCATAATGACAGCCTGCTGATGCAAGCTAGTCTTGTTATGCCATCTTATGGGACCGTGGAATGGAAAGACTAGGTAGCCAGCACAGGGTCATCTAGTCAATATGTACTACAGCAGACAGCAAAACTAGTTATTCAAGCTCTGGACTAGTTTTCTAACTTCCATCTTGTCCTTTCTATTCATCTATGTCTTTGCAGGTGGCTGGCTGCATCCCAGTGCTCTGTCCTATTTTCCATGCTTGGTTACCTTCCGCACTGGCTCAAGCAGGCATAAAATCTCATGATCACAGGTACCATGACGTTGAATTTCTTATTCCATTGTTCTAAGAACATTTTGAAACCTAGAATTGCAGCCTTTATTTGCACTCAGTAAAGAAAACATGATCAGACATGACATTCTTAAGCTTCAGCTTGATGCATCTAAAATGTATCTTAATT